TAAGTACTTTGGTTTTCAATCTCCAGGAGATCACAACGGTCAAGTTTCTTGAATAAAGCCGGGATGAAGACTAGTTAATACTAGTTAACATATATTTTTAGCTAGGTATGTAATGGAAACTAACCTTACTTGGCTAATTTGTTCCTTGACCAATCTCGTATGATATAATTTTAGTTAAGATACTTTTCAGAGTTAGGATATTAATATAGTGAAATGCCATATAATAAGAACTAAAAGACAAAATATAAACTATGTATCTCAATTTATTTATTAAAATTAATTTATAATTAATCTTGTTTAAATGTATGTGTGATTGATTTTAGATAATAAAATCTAAACTTCATGAACAAAGTTATTAATAATATTCTTTCAAAAAAAACTTTTTTGAACGATTTGGGATTTATGTTAACTATATTTCTCCGCAGAAAATTAAATTGCTTTTTAAAACTTGACCATGGACCTAACCTGGTATACTAACTAGAGTGCAAAGTAATACTAAAAACCACTAGCGGATTCAGGATTTAATTCTTTTTTTCATATATATATATATATATATATATATATATATATATATATATATATATATATATATATATATATATATATATATTTATATATATATATAACGATAATTAATTTGAAAAAAAAAGAAACTAACTACCTATATGACGTGGTGTTCTTGAACTCCTATTAAATGTAGCTACACAAACAATATTACGTAAATAATTCATAACACCGAAAATTTTGAGGTGTGAATATCTCCTAAGCAAACCGTTTGTGGAATTTTTAAATATACCTTCAGAGGAATTTTTTTTCCTTGTTTTGAAGTCTGTAGTTTATTTTTGCAGTTTGGCCACATAACCCTGAAACACCCTGTATATTCTACGCTAGAAATATTTTTATACACTTGTAAATATATGTATTGATAAAAATAAAAATAAAGAAAAAAACATCGTACGGACTTGGAATCATTACTGTGTAAGGAAGTACTATTTTAAAGGCCAACAGTTGAGCAGTGAACTGATGGAGCCAGGATCACTTTCAACCGCTGGGTTTTCCCTTTTATTAATTATTTAATTAGGAGTATCCACTCTATTGAGGCTGGCTGTGCCCCAGGAGGGTCTTTCGACCCCAAGCTCGATCCTATGCTGATGAAATATTACTGTCATCAGCCAGATTCAAACCTAGGACCTGGACATTAGAAGTCAGTGCTTACCCACTAAGCTACTCCGCCCCCTGATGCACTGATTTAATTATATAAAAATTATAATTTAGCTAGTTCTTTTATTCTCATTTGTCCGAATGAATAATGTCGTACCGTTGTTATTCTTATTTTCTAGTACAATAAGTATCGTTATATCTTATTTAAAACTCTTATTAAGTGGTGAAAGAAAAAAAAATCTTATATTCTTACTCATCGCATCTAGGAGGCTGTGATATAGTAGCACGATGGAACTAGATTCACTGTTCAGGGTGGTGTGTGTTCTAGTGTCGTCTGATTCAGTTAATATTTACTGAAACCAATCGAATTATGGATGATACAAAGAGGCAACCTCCTAGGATTCGCAAACAAAATCCAATACGCCCAGTTGCCGGATTACTTTTCCTACTTTTTTTTTACAGAACTAGAGACAATACTCCTATTTTCTCTTTGGTCGATAAGACCCTTCCTTGTAGAGTCAAGAGTTGTTATGTTTTCATTGGTTCTTCCACTGAATTACTAAGGACATTTGATTATTTTTTTACCCAAACCTGTAAAAAATATTGACAACCAGTGAGCCTGTTCTCTGAAAAAATAATAGTAGTAAGGCATCGATAGTTCTGATGGACAGGAGTACCAATCGGACCATTCAAATCTTCAATTTTAAATTATACTGCGAAAAAAAACTTACCGATGATAAAAAACATACTTGACTTTGAATTGATAGAGAAATCAGCAAAGAATAAAGTTGACCAACCTGCATAAAGTCCATGATTTCATTGTTATTTAGAGATCAGTTGCGTAAAATGCTGTGGGCATCTACGCCTATCTAATCTTCGTTTCAATAACCTCAATACTAAATTATTTTGATAAAAAAATACAATTTGATTCAGCAAAGGTCCACGACATATATTCAATATGAGTATGATGGATAAATATTAGGTAATAAGATATATTTAAAAAAATTTTTTTTGTTCTTTTTTAGCTTTAAGACTTGTAAAAGCAAGTCCTATTTTGCCAGTAAAATATTTCAATTGTCATAGTAAGATGATATTACACTGGATTTATATTAATTGTTTATAGTTAGATGATCAGTGAAAGTAACTTATATGGAACTTGGATATTAGATATTATATTATTATATATTAGATATAATAGAAACTAGAAAGATTAATAGTTAAAAACTGAGATGAATTAAAATTACAATTAACTGACTTTTATTATATGACTGCTTTTATGTCATTCATGAACTTTATCAAGTCACGGGCGTTATCTTTATTCATCGACCGAAGAAAGTTAGCTCCATCATCCGTAGTTTGCGATCCTAAACTAATTCTTCTTCGCTTCTCGAATCTTTTGCACTTAAAGGCAATGTGTCTTGGATCCTCCAAGCATTGGCATGTTGGGCAGTGACCGCTCTTAGCTAGACCCATTAGATGTAGATATTTAATTTTAAGAATTGAAATAAACTATAAATATAAAAGAAAACTTTAATGGTTATAAATTATTGTGGAAATCTCTCTGCATTGTCCCTGATCTAAAAATAATCCAAAATGATTTATTGTTGTACATACCACAGGACACTATTCACCAGAGCTCCCCAACATATATATTGTGGGTAGTTCGGAGAGTATTAAGTTAAAAGACCACCTGTTCAGTCGTTCTAGAAGATACACGGGGTTAGGGTTAGGGAAAAGGGTCCTATAGCAAGTCTCTTAGAGAATTATTAGTATAAAACGACTCCGAGAGCTGCTGAATGAGCAAAAGCATTTCCAACCATCTTAAAATTTATTTATCCTTTGCGATCTTATTGCAAACTCATAACGCTAACTAAACTTTCTTACTGGTTGTATTAATTAAAGTAGTGTACTAACTAACTCGGGTTAAAATAATTTGATGCCTGCTTATTTCCAAACTGGCGAACAGTTCATCCAATTCCAGACCCCAGTAACTGGTTTTTGATTAAAAAAGAACTAAGTATATTCACAAAGTAATGACTTTATCAAAAATCACTGAATCTTCTTTGTGCACCTTTGCGTAGTGTGTTAAGTGCAATGATCATATTTATGGAAAAACGCAATTGAAAGTTTGGAATTTTCACAAGTGAAAGTTAGCTTTTCGAGGTTTAACTAATTATTCATTAAGGAATGTTCATCTCTGTAATATTTACATAACTTAGCTCATTAGACACAAAGAAAGAAAGAAACAATAGCTTTCAAGTGATACCCATAAAATTTAAGAAATTGAAAAAAATTCACAGATGCCACAGATGAAATATACAAATAATATTTCCGTTTTTTGTGAAATGTGAATTACATTGAGCCGTCAGATCTCCGATGTGTAATGCTCGGGCAAACCTGGTTGGAATCGACTAATGGAAGTGTTTTAAGTGTGGAAGGATTAAAATATCTCAAAAACTAAAAATTGGATCTACAAATTGTTAGCGAGAGCTATTATTATAGCTTTGTAATGAGCTATTATTCCAAATTGTGTCCAAACAGGTTGTATAACGCAACGCCATGTTAGAGAAGCGAAAAACAAATGATAACGGTTTTCATAGATATGGATAATAATATTTTTTTTTTTTTGTTTATTCCGAAACATGTTGTTATTATTTGTGTAGGAAAGATGAATCACTGCGTAATAGTTTGTATTGTTTTTCCTGTATCAAACCTTAATACCATTATCATTATATGTGACGTATCCGAAATATCAAGAGAGTTGCGATAAACAATATACCTACATAATCATATTAGTGACCAGATAACAGATTTTTTATGTATTCTAATTATTGTTATAGCTAAATAGTTACATCGTACTATTCCTTTCCTCCTCTCGCTCTCTCCCTCTCTACTTTTTTTCTCTATTAGTCTTGCAGATCTTATCCGGCTTAGTCAGCATTTTCCGAGCTACATATATCACCCATCTATTCCTCCTTACCTTCCTATGATGAGATATTAGTTGACCAGTTTCTGTAAGCAGTTATTTACTGGTGTTTCACTCAATGCGTTGTGTCTGCTGACCCGAAATCGCTCCGGTTATAGCGGAAGGTACTTTCCATTAAAATCTTTCACTACTTCTTCCTGGGGTCCTTGTTAGAGTCCATGTCCCGCAGCATATTGTATCATGGTACTATACACAGGTAGCTGTATAATGAACTAGCTTTCTCATGGCATTGTACATAATTATATTGAGATTCCCAGAGATTGTTCGGGATTTCCATAACTTTGAAAGATAGAAGAAAGTTTTGTTTGTACTTGTTATGATTTGCTAAGGCATTTGCTGAGTCTGTCTACTTTCAGAATTTCCCATCCACGCATATTCTATTGTTAGGATGGATTTTTCGGCCTACTATTCTGTATCAATGTATACCTATACCCTTTTTTATGGGTTTTTTGTTTAGAAACACATGGTTACGAACAGAAGGCCACAGTTATACTTTCATTTAAATGTGATTTTAGGAATAATCATTTCAGGAAAGCACAGCTAAGAATCTTCTAACATAAGAACCCATAAAGCTAATTTCAACAATTGTTTCACTGACTTAATTTGATGGAGGTTTAGGATTTTTTTACTATTATAGATTTTATTTGAATAATAATAAACAATCTGCCACAATCAAGGGCATTTGGTATTATGGCTCAATGCCTACAGTCATACATTTTATAAACAACTTAAAATACTAGTTGTGAAATAAAATAAAATAAGAAGAAAACATATAGTTTAGAATTTTAGCGTTAAACTGCGTTTTTATCAAGATTATTACGCGTGTTATAATAATGTGATGATCTTTTTATAGGAATAATCTGCTTTTGCTGATGATATTCTGGACAGTGGCTACGGTATACGGGAGGAAGTTTATGAAATGCGAACTGGCCAGACAGCTTCATTGGTTAGGGCTAAGCAGGACTGCAATACCGGACTGTAATGAGGTTTATTGTTTATGTATTATGTTTTTTATGAACATTTTTTAAAACTATTTAAGACTGTTGGTGGAATAACTTAGTTATGCTGACGAGGAAATATTATTTTATGATGTTATCTAAATAATTTATGGGTTAATACCTACTTTGAAACAAAATATTACATGTTGATCTAAGATCGATAGTTTAGCCGAAAGTTATTATTATTTGCAGTATATTTACCATTGCAGTGCATTTTAGTGTCGCTTCTTTCAAATGTTTTGTTTTTTAAAGAAACCAACATGGAGCCCGATTGTTATATTTACCACTAAAGCATAAGGAAATTCAAAAATACCTCGCTAAGAAAAAGTATAAAAATCATAAACAATGCAAATCTGCCAGAAAAAAAAAATCTGCAAAATGATATTATGAACGAAACTCCCAAACTTGGTCGATGAATGTTTACGCTGTACAATGCAGACCTCCTTTTACCCCTAATATCTTTCCGTAACACCATGAAATAAAAATTTAACTCATTTTTTATTGTATAAAATGAAAATCTGTAATGTAAATCTGTACACCAATATCATAATAAAAACGCTGCAAATTATTTTTAATGGTTTATTATTTCTAAACAATTATACATCTAAAGTAAAATAACCTTCATAGTAACAAAGAAAAATAAGTAAAAGGTGATTCCTATTATTAGCCTAAACATTTTTTATTCCGTCATTAGTAATTTGCTAAAAAAATAGCTTTACTTCAGTGACACTTAAATCAAAAACCTAAATAAAGAATAAAATATACACAATAAGGATAAAAGTGAATACTGTTTGGGTTATTAGGAAATCTAATTTTACCACCCCATGTAACTTTTTTCCAGCTTCTTTTCGTTGAAGTATGTTTTATATATATATATATATATATATATATATATATATATATATTATATATATATATATATATATATATATATATATATTATATATATATATATATATATATATAAATTTAAATGGTATCGAGAAGAAGACTACAGTATACACCAACACAGGTTTTTCTTCTGCCATCTTTAAAGGAAAAGGCGGAAAGTAATCTCGAAGAAGGAGGAGCATTCTCGGGTGACATTCTTGGGTGATTTTAATTTAAAATTTAGAAAAGATTGGACAATGGCTTCCCAGAAAATATGCAGAAGAAAATGAAAAGGCGTACGGTGGACAAAAAAAAAATATGTTTTTCGAATTCTACGTATTCTGAAACGTAAAATCTTTGAGGGGGTAAATTTTTTTTAATTATTCGGTAGATTACAACGGTTCATTTTCGAAAACAATAAATAAAAATTTCTTTAAGTAAATGTTACATGAAAACCGTTTGAAATACGTTAGACTCATATAGTTTGATCAGATTTTTTTATTTAAGCCTTATAATGATTTAATAGGCAAACTACCGAAAATTATTTTATCCTAAAAGAGTGATAACATATCACGAATATATGAATTAATCATTGAAATAAATTTGGAACAGGGGTTTGTTTGATCGATGCAGAAAGTCATATGCAGACAGATTTGGTAACTGGGCCTCTTGATGATGGTAGCAACAACTACGGTTTGTTTCAGGTATGTTTACGATTTATTTTGATAGATGAATAGAGATAATATACAAAATATCAATCTAAAAATATTTCTGAATAATATTAACTATTATTTAATATCGATTTGATGATGAAAACTAAACATTGATTATGGTGTCGACTTCTGCATGAATCATTTCCCTACCGCAGATGTCATTTGTGAATCACTTATTCATGCATAAGAACCAGTTGTAAAAATGTCAAATGAGGATAAAGATTTAGTAACTAAGAAACAAATTTTAATAGAACCAAGTTATGGTAAATTCATCCCCTGAACAAATACAAAAAAAAAAAAAAAAAAATGCACCAAATTATTTCATCTACATCTAAAGTAACATTACCTTCCTAGTAACAATTAGATTACATTGGTTCATTATTGAAAATAATAAACCAATAAGGCGTGTACTTTAGACCACACAATAGAAGTGAAAACATCAACATGCAATATTAGAAATTAGAAATATAAATTATAAATAATAGCTCATTATAAAGAGAACGAAATGATGATCATTTTCCTCGTTTACAGTACGTAGGTCAATTTTGTCTATATGAAATATTTTAATACATATCTTCAATAAAACTCGTTATAATTTGGTTTTCGACACTATTATTTTCCTTTTGCCTCCCTGACACGGCGTACTGTGATCGGGCATGCTAGACTGATACACCTCCACCTTATAACAAAAGATCTTATTCCCAGATATCAAAAGTGTGACCAGTCATTAAATATAAAAAATATTTTGGAATAGTGCCCTTTTTACACCGCAAGGTTAAAAGATCTCGGAATACCCTAGAATATATCAGTGTCCCTAGGAAATCAATAAGAAATCCTAACAAAATTTATTAGGTTCATTGACAATGAAAAAATTATAATATATATATAATAAGTTTATAACTAATGATCCTTTGCAGATTTATTTATTTATCTATTCTATCTTACTATCTATAAGTGTCAATTATTATAATTATTTATTAATTTTATTCTATTAATTCTTTTTGTTTATACTTTTTTTTATTTAAATCCTTTTTTTATTTATTTTATTCTATTAATTCTTTTATTTTTATAATTTTTTATTTTTATTTTTTGTACCAACCACTTGAACAGTATAAAAGTAGTGTTATTCGGTTGGTTGGCGCTGATGACCTGGATGTTATGTGCCTTGACATCGAAACAAACAAACAGCGTATAGTGGTTGAAAAATCTACTTTTTTAAAAAACCCTGCCAACACTGATCTATAAGTTACAGAAACATAGTTTTGATACCATCATAATCACAACTAAATTTTCTATAAAATATCTACAGTAGAACCCCGTTTAACGGGCTATTCGGGTTAAACGGGAATAAAAGAGATGAATCATTTTGTTTCTCTCAGAATAAGATATCTTCAGCTAACTAAATTATTGAAACAAATGAGATAATTTTATTTGTTACAACAAATCTTGACCTGGGAACTTATGTTAAAGAGAACTAATGGAGTAGCAAACTAATAAAGGTAAGATTAACAGTGTAACAAACGGTGCAAAACTTGCTTTGATGTGAAAAAGAGTTATCTATTTTACGTTTTTCAATAACCTAGACAGCACTTTTATTGTGTAATTGATGGAATCACTAAGGATCGGTCAAGCAAAAAGAAAAAAATAAATAAATAACTGGTCTTGTGAATTAAGTGATTAAATCGTATATTACTCGAGCCAGATATCTATCCTTTCATGATAAACTTCAGTCCCATCCAAATCCGCTTGTTTCCACTCTTCCTTCTTTCTCGATTCCTGATAATCCTCCTAGGCGTCTGAAAAGGAGATGGCCTCGTGATCTTCTTACTTAAAATTATTTAGAGAGTGCTACCACTGGGTAGTAACTCTTCAAGCCTGTACATGCCATTATTTATATTTGCGCATATTTACTTGTTGTATTTGTATACAGTTGTAAATTCCATTAAATAAAAAAAAAAAAAAAAAATCGTATATTCAAGAAAAGTTACAATACTCTAGTCTAAAATTTAAATGCATTATGTATAAATACTCCTACGAATTTTTGTAAACATTTTATTTTAACCGGTCATGTCTCGATTATGACTAGGACGGATATGCGAGGTAGTATTGTGGTTTAAAAAGCTTCTATTGTTAAAGTAGTTAGTCAATTTATGAGATGTCTATTCTTACAAAAAAATTAGATTGTTTATCAATTTTATAAAATAAATAAAAGCAATAGTAAGATTTTACGAGGAGATGGAAGGTTGAGTTCATTTTATGATTTTTTTCCGAGCTATGAATACCAAGAACTCATTTGTGAATGAAATTATTTTTAACAACTTATTATTTTTCTGTTTATTTCAGTATTTATTTATTTTAAAATAATATTGTGGACTTCGAAATACTAATAAGTAATTTATTTTTTCACTCAGTGTAAATGTTTAGAATAGCTTTTCATGATTATAGAAAGAAATTGTACAAAATGTGAGTAAAAATTACAGTAATAATATCGAAATATTTTCGTTGAGATTCAAACATTACTCCGCGGTCGGATTCGGAAAGCTCATATGACGTTAAAAATAAATATTTTACTGATTGAATTAGTAATATATCTTAGGAAACTAATCTATTTTTGATTGACGAAAAGAAAATCATTTATTAAATACCTTCAAAAAATGTTTTTTTTTTCTGCCTTTCAACCACAGTGGGGCGTTGCATTAAGATATAATTTTGAATTGTCGCCCGTTACAGAGTCGATCAAATACTGAACAATTCCCTCGCTTAAATTATACAGGTCCGATTTTTAGCTTCTGAGATATTTTAATCCATATTTTAAACAAAACTCATCATAATTTAGTTTTCGAAACTGTTTTTTTCCTTTTCGCCTCTCTAACACGGCGATTGTATCGCGTTAAGATAAAATTTTGAATAACAGCTCATTAAAAAGAGGATGAAATGATGAACATTTCTTGAGATATTTTAATCCATATGCGAATACACTTCAATTAGTCGACTTCAGCCGACTTTACCCGAGCGTTACACATCGGAGATCTGACGGTTCAATCTAATTCACTTTCCAGAAAAAAAGTGCAAAACGCGCCTAAACAAGTTTTCATTTCAAAAATGGACATTGTGTTCTTTACCTTAGGGGCACAGATTGAAAATTGTGTTATAAATAGTATAGATAACTAATATCCAATAATTTATGGAACAAAGCCAAAATAGATAATGAATAGGATTTACTATAAACGGATTAAACCTTAAATAAATAGTTTGTCATTCATAGAATAAACTGGAAAAAACTTATTAAGTTTAACGATAGGGAGACATATTTATAACAAACTTTTTTACTCTTACAGATAAACAGTAAAAGATGGTGTGGTATGAAAAATCGCGGTGGAGATTGCGATGTGAAGTGTTCACGTAAGGAAGGGTTCAATGTAATCCTGAATCTTGTCATACACTAAAAATGATAATTAAAACTAATTTTAAATGTTTAATTGCCGTACAGATTTATTGACGAAAGACATAAAGAAGAGCTTGGAATGCGCTGAAATTATATTCGTAAAAATGGGTGGTTTCAGCTTTTGGAAGGGCTGGAAGGAGAACTGCGAACTAAAGCAGTTGCCGAACCTGGACAATTGTTACGACAGGAGGCCGTGGAAGACGACTACTATTCCAAATCCGTTCAAGAAGATCATTTTTCCGCCACACCTGACGGGAAAATTGAGTTGAAAATAAATAGAAAATAATAAAAGGCTAAGTTTTTTTTTTCCCCAATCCTTGTACCTAGTCCTCAAACCCTACCTCTCAAATCGTTCCTTTCCACAAGGCAGTGTCTTGGGCCCAGTCCTCTTCATCCTCTTCACCGCTGACATTCCAACCAATCCCGATACCCTTCTAGCAACTTTCGCGGACGATACCGTCATCCCACCTAGATCCTGAAACTGCATCCTTAAATCTACAAAGACACATCTCCCTAATTGAGCAATGGTGCAACAATTGGCGCATTAAGATCAATGAATCCAAATGCAAGTATGTCACCTTTACCCTCCGACGCAGATCCTGTCCACATATCCTTTTCAACTCTGTACCTCTCCCCGTCTCAGACACAGTTCGGCATCTTTGATTCCTTTTAGACAAAAGACTAACTTGGAACCCACATACTAGACTTAAAAACAAGAACTTAACCGACGATTTGGCCAGCTATACAGACTACTTAACAGAAAATCCAATCTATCAATAGAAAACAAACTATTAATATACAAGACCATACTCAAACCCATCTGGACCTACGGACTTGAACTGTGGGGGACAACTAAATTTTCGAACATCAAACGCATCCAATCCTTTCAGTCTAAAGTCCTCCGTATGATAGTCAATGCTCCTTATTACGTTACAAACAAAACCCTACATCATGACCTTTACATCCCTTATATCCTTGACGTTATTCCATCCCGATTCTCAAATTTTCACATGAACCTAATCCACCATCCTAACCCTTTAGCACAATCCTTATCTAGCTCCAGTCATCCCTACAACCCTCCTCGAAGGTTGAAACGGCAGTGGCCTCGAGATCTCTTGTAAAGACGTCACTGGAGTTCTGGCAATGGCCAGCTTCTCCACTCAAGTCATGAGTGTTTGTGGTTTTAGTGCCCTCTCTCAGTCTCCACCGGACTGGTAATGCCGGCGACGCGGTTGAGAGAGAAGCGCTGGGATCTCTTAGAGTCTCGCTTTGTCCTTCACACGTGGGGGAAAGGGCTGGACTCGGAGATCTCTTACCTAATTGTAAATATTGTATTTAAGTATGAATGTTTTTCTATTTATTTCTATTACTTATAATTTATTTAATTTCTTTACGAATTTCTGTATTTCATTTAATTTTAACTCTTAGTTACATTTCCTAGTTTATTATAGTTTTTGCCTTTGTTATATAGATTTTTATATTTTTTATTTATTTAATTTTTTATTTATTTTATTTTTATTTTTTTTTTTTATGTATTGTATATATGGTATGAATGTGCCTGTCTCAGCCTTAATACTCAGTGCCCTTAAGTGTGGCAAAATGTATTATTACTCAATAAACAGATAGATAAAAAAAAAAAAAGTTTTTTTTTTTAAAAAACATTAATTCTTCATTTCGAAACACGCTGTGAAAGTCAGAGAGAACAGTTTAATCAGAAAGTGCTAGCTGGTCCGGTGTTATAGTGTAGTCGTAAAATCTTTTGGTTATCAACACCATATTTAAGATTTAGCTATACGATTATATCAGCTGCTTGTAACTAACTTCCTCTCTGCAGAAAGTGCTGTTTAGAGCTTCTCCATCCATTGCCTTTTGTTGAGAAACGCGATCCAAAATTATTATTGGAAACATTACATCTTTGTCCTAGGTTACGATAAACATTGAACATTAAAGTTATTTAATAAAATTTTAAAAATATGCCAGTTGTTTTTTCTTGCGATTAATTGAAGGTTTCTCATTTACTGGTTTTTGTAACATGCCTGTAATAATTTCTGTGGGTTCATTTTGTGAATGATGACGGTTCATCACCATTTTATCAGATTTGTTAATCTTTTCTGAATATGAAACCAAGAGCTTTGAGAACGTTGGCTGCCCTCATGTGGATTAAGGTGTAACCATAAATAATTCAAAATATATCCTAATGGGATTAGGAGACGTATTTCACGCGTTCTATTGACATGGCTACACAAATATTGGTCCGTTTGGCCTATATAACCTGGTTATTATGATTATATAGGGGTTTAGGTCACGCCAAACGGCACAATTATTTTTAAGACCACCTATTTTCACGGCTTTTTTCTCAAGTTATCTTACGATTCAAGTGAAAAGCAAATGGGTATTTAAGAATTTTTATTACCTAATTAAATTGATAATGTTTGCCGATCACCGGATTGAAAACGCCCTGATTCCGAGAATTTTTGTAAATAAAATAGTTGTAAATTGCGATGAGATGAAGCTATTCACGAAATTTCAGGAGGATGTTAATAATTTGATAAGAACCACTAGAGATAAACTAATAAAATAATATATATTCTTGAAGAAAATGTAATTATGAAAAAAACGTTTTTCACCATGATTTAATCATAAAACGAAGTAATCAAGAGTTAGCTAGTTAAATACAGTAAAAACATGAGGTAAAATTTTTTTTCACATTAGCGATAGCTGAGGAGGGATATCTCGGAAACTAAGCTAGATAGCGAAAACATGTATATAATAAATCATATTGCAAATGTTTTTAGCTTTAATTTTGTATATAACGTCTTTGTCGATGCGATGGATACTTTTCCTGATATAAGTGAAAACTTAAAAAACAGCAATAAATACGAGGAATTTTTTTTCTCAAAATTAGCCATAGTTGAGGACGGATATTTCGGACTAACTATAAAAAAGCTATAAAAAATATATAATTTTAATCATATAGCAAATTTCATTAGCTTTAATTTTGTTAGGACGTCTTTATCGATGCAATTGATAGTTTTCCTAATAAAGGATAAAACCCGAAAAAACTGATCTAGGTGCCCCGCCCCCCACATCTGGCTCACCACCTAGAAGGGGGGGGGGGACTTTTACTATGTTCACCTCCTTACTAGTCCAAACAATGTCCCAGAGTCAAAAATTGCGTCCCCACCATTTCTTTTTATAATTATTCATTGACTGGACTATATGGGATTACGGTTCGTAGAAAATTTTATGATATCTAAAGCCTTCCCGCTTTAATCTATTTGATAAGAAATAAATGTATAAAAATAATAGCTATACTCTGAATGACATCACAGTTTATAGTTTTTTTTTGTCCAAGATCACAATATGTAAGTATTTACACAGTTTTTACTTTCACTTACCTATATATGAAATAATTATTTCTAACTATAGCACAACCACATATTGAAATAATCATTCTTTTTTCATATATGTTTTTGTTTGTTTTGTTATTTTTTTCCTATGTTTTTTTCTCCTTGATATTATATTTGCTCAATGCAGAAGTAGATGGAAAATTAATTTTATATCAGAAATATGAGTAACTTATAAATAAATAAAAATATATATGAAATATTGATATGATATGAATACTGATATTGCTAAAAATAATATTCGATTTGAAAATAGAGATACATTTTATTGTTTTTTTTTTCTTGGAAAGGGGATTCATTTGTAGCTGGTTTGATTTCTGCACTTCAAACGAATGCCGAAAATAGCTCGATGGTCATGAGAATTTTCAAGCTACCTTAATACGACAATTTAACTTTGTAAACTTCATCCATTCATCACTGATTTAAATTTAATCTGTTAATCTGGGTTCATCATTTAAGTGCGGATTGTCGTTTCATTTTACTGACTGAAAATAAAAAAATATTTTCAGAGATTATTACATCCTCATTAATTTTTAATGTTTTATATGTAATGAGTTTTTTTTTCAATTGTTCGTTTCTATTGTGGGTGAGAGGAGGTGGTGCAAAAGATCCCATCCAAGGCTTAATGATTTATTGGCAGTGACCAATGAGGTATGGGGCCTTGAGCTATCTTGGAGAAACACAACAAGCATCCGGTCATTGATAACTCTTTAGGATGTTCTTCAAATTCGATGTTATATATCCGTTGGGAAGCTAAATTATTACTCTTCAAAGCTGTATGAATGTTATTTGATTTAATGCCTACACAAGGAATAAATAACAAAAACTCCTTATAGATTTTTATTTTTTATTTCCATTTAGTTTGTTAACGAAGGTTGATGTCATTTTGTGTAATTTATGTGGCCCCCAATTCCTGTTTTTTTTTTTTTTTTGATAGCTAAAGTCAAATTGATGTTATAACATTTTTTGTGATTTTCGAAAAAAAAATCATGTGAGGGATATAAACATTAAGCCTGTGGAAACATAGCCGAGCTTGTGAAAATGGTTTTTATACGCTTGTGTGCGACACATTTGGGACCATAACACCTCTCGCACTGATTGATTGGGATTTTGATCAACAATGGCCTAAACATTGCTCGTTCAATTTCATGCGGGAAACCAGACCGTTGAGCATCATTGATGTAAAAATTCCCTGAATAAAATTTGCCAAATCAATTTTGACAGGTGCGTTCGGGTAAGGCATCATCCCTATAAACACTGCATAGTAATTGACTTACTGAAGGAACTTAGTCGACTATTCTGCATATCATGGGTGATAAATATTCAGGATGCAGCCATATAATGTTTCTTTTCAGTACTTCAAGTACAGAACATCCGAAAACTGACAAGATCAGTACTTGAATATCTCCAGTGCTCGAAAAACGCCCTGATGATGGTCCACATGTTTCGCTTGAAACATCGGCACCAATAAAAACTTTGTAATGACTGCTTCCTGAATATTTATCACCTATCATAATGATTGACCATAATATCCTGTAATCCGACAAAATTTTCGTAAAAAGAGACCCCGACAACATAATAATGGACACTAATATAGATCAAATCCTCAAAGTTACAAAAAATGCATGCTCAATTTGAAATCCGACAGTATTTTCATTATATACGCCACTGTCAAAATAATAGTGAGCCATAATATCCATTAGATGCTATTAAAAGTCAGGAAGAATCAATTGAAAAAAAAACGATGTTGGGCAATTTTTAAATCTATTTTTTTTTTTAAAGAGCTGTCTTAAAACTTAACGGACGGTTATTTTATTTTTCTAAATCATTTATGCTGGAATAAATGATTATTCAGTTAATTTTTTCACTTAATACATTTTTATTCAGTGGATATTTTCTTAGAATAAACATTTATTCAGATATATGTTTATTGAGTAATTTGTTTTTTCCAATAAAAATACTAAATATTTCTCAGAATAAATCAGAAAAGCTGGTTATTCTTGGAATCGTCAATCACTAAAAATTTATTGAATACATTATTCGAATAAAAATTCATTAAATAAAGCCCAACTGTGAACCTCATTCAGTTTTCCCCCTCAGATAATCAGTATGTCATTAATCAGTAATAATCAATTTCATTTAATATTTTCATCTGTTTTTTGTAAGGAAATAGTTTATAGCCTTGACTTTTCTTAATTAATTTTTTTTTCTCACTTTTGACCCATAGGTCTAATATAAAAAACAAATAATCGCAGTTTCTAGTATTTTCTACATAATTTTAATTTGAACGTTTCCAGAATACTTTGTTCCACTTTCTCTACAGCATATGGTGGCCCAGTAAATAATAAAGTCTAAATTATCATTAACCAAACCACTGATTTAGAACTAACCTAATACTAGCAAATTGTATACTAAACGGAGAAAAAAGTATCTCCAAAATGTCCAAAATTTATGTCTCCATCTGGAATTCTATTCATCCTGATATTAGAAACGTACAATCAGTTTCCTCTTTCAAACCTCTCTTTAAACACCTACTCCTTTCCCAATCAGACTGATCATTAAATAAACCTAAGCGAACTCTCTAAGTACTCGTAGAGACTTACCTTGTTTACTTATGTTATTCTAGTTTCCGATGTTTGTTTTCTATATCTATCTATCTATCTATCTATCTATCTATCTATCTATCTATCTATCTATATATATATATATATATATATATATATGTATGTATGTATGCTTTTCTTCTCTCTCTCTCTCTCTTTCTCTTTCTATCTGTATTTTTATTTTTAATTAACAATTATTTTGTAAATATTTAATTTATGAATTGTAAATATTTATTTATAAATTGTAATAAATTGTAAATATTTATTTTGTAAATATTTATTTTATTTTATTTAATTTATGTAAATAGAAAAATAGCACTAAAATGAACTCTTGGAAACATTCATTGATCGGAAAAGTGAGTTTAATAAAGGACAATATTAATTAGACTAGACAGGAAAAGGTGGCTCAAAAAGAGAGCTTTAAATGAGGAAAGTGTTGAAGCATGGCAGATGGTAGGCGCGATAGAGATCCATAACTAACCAACTGGGTGAGGAAAGATTTTTCAAACGGCGCAGTTAGACGAGGAGGAGAGTGAAAGTCAGAAGGATGAGATCGGTGGGACGGGATTTTATGGATGATTTAAATTTCAGACTCTATAGTATGTAAAATGGATATCGAGTTATTATTATCTGATATAAGAAGAGTATAAGGAAATACTGACATATGTTTATAATGTGGATAATTAACAAAAAAAAAAAATGAAAGATGCGAGTTAATCGATCATAATTCGCGGTAACGAACGAAAAATAGCTGATAATTTACATATCAATATCATGAATGGCGCTCTTCCAATGTCATTCACTCAATTTGAGAAAAAAAAAATCCGAAAATCATTATACCTTTTGATGTTTTGGGTTGTTGTTTAAAATTTTTAAGGGACTACTTTTATGAATTAAATAATAAAATATCATTTCCAGATTAGCAGTACTGATGCTTGTTCGATGGGTACATAAGCCAGAGGGATTTGCTACGTAATATGCCATGAACGTCTAATGAAGTCTAATGGTTTTAAATAAGTATGTATCAATGTTTTATAATCTATAACTAGTTATGTACTAATAAGTTTTTATATACTGTAAGCCAGTAATATATTGAAACATGAAATTAAATGCTACACTACCAAGATACCGAATGAGACAAGACCAAATAGCAACATGTATTTTTACGATTATTGTTACAGTATTTACTGTAATATTACACTACTGTATTTTTATATTACAGTATGATATTATTTAAGTTTTCGTAGCATTATTATTACTTATACTATCATATAAAAATGGGGTTACTAATGTTTGAGCTAACAGATAATACCGAATTAGGTAGCGGGAGAAAGTGAGCGTTTGATTAATCTTTGCAGTTATAAAGTTACTAAATGCAGTTATAAAGTCTTTTTTTTAATAGCATCCAAAATATTAGAAAGTATAGTATTAGTATTATTTTGATCTAGGCATATTTATTTTCTGTATTTAGGTCAAAAAAATTTTTTTGACAGTTAATTGGGAATGTTTTTACAAAAATAGAATTTTCACTCTTTCCCTTGCAAAATGATATACAAAGAAAAAATCATAAAAATCACAACATAAATTCCTCAAAATCATCTTACAAACTTCATCTACGGTCGGCTTTTTTTTTGTGAATCGTTCTACCAGAACTATCCTACCTTTCTGATTATGACACCAAAAGGTTTGAGAACTTGGGCTGACTTCATATGGAATGAGTTGTAACCATAAGTAATTCAAAATACACGCCCAATGGTATCAGGAGACTTATTTCAAGCGTTGTTTTGAAAAGTGGTGATTCATTAAAAAAAATATTCGTTTTTATGTGTTCAATCACTTGTCATTATCCTACTTGATTTCAGTGCCGTAAATTTCAAAAAGAAGGAATATCAGTTCGTTGCGTTTTGTTGAAATGAAAAACACTTGAACTTACTTTCGTGGTATTTCGTGTTATCCGAAAAATAGACATGTGATTACGATTCGTAGAAAATTTTATGATATCTAAAGCCTGCACGCTTTAATAATTTGATAAGAATTATTATATATAAAAATAATAGCTATATAACGACTTATAATACAGTTCTTAGTTTTATTTTGTCCAAGTTCGCAATATGTAAGTATTTGTTTTTTACTTGTACTAACCTATTAATAAAGTATATAGGAGGGAAAGTATTGTGATTGTTAAATATTCCGAATTCAAGTTTTCAGCGGAAATGCACGTTCGTTACTTTATTTCCGAGGATCACAACGCAAGTGACCAAGTCTTACAAAATGGCATTTCTTTCTGTTCATGTGCGAACAACCTAGCTCAAAAACAAGAAATCGTACGAAACTAAAATTACGTTTGTAATTTATTTGCTTATATAACCGGGATGTTACAGCGACTATTTCGTCAATATCGGCTAACCAGGAGTGCCTCATAATATCATTGATTTTATATGTTTTTACAATTTTTTCGAAAATAGCTCTAGGCCAGATCCTCAGTCTGACAGGCTTAAAAAAACTTTTCCCTTCAATCAGGTGCATCTAGGTCCATAATTTGAGTACGAATTGTCGTGGAATTATAATTTTTTTCGGTTAGCTTAAAAGCAATTAAGATAAAAATATTTTCACGAATTATGACATCAATTAATTTTTTAAATTGTTATTTTATGTTTTTACTGAAAAAATGCATATATAAAGTTAATTTGAAAATAATTTATTTATTTACTTATTATGGTAAGGCTTCTACACTCGAAAGTAAAACTTAATTTCCTTTAAGAATTTAAGAAGTATTTTCTTTATAATTTTTATTTGGGCGTTTAGGGGGTACTTTCCTTCCTCTTCAGCATATAAATTCCTCAGTATTTGGTTATTCCTAAACCATCATTGACCAAATTTGTTCTTGGACTAACCCAATACTAAAGAGAGAGACAAAGAATATTTGAAACGTCCAAATAAAAGTGATAAAGAAAACAGCATAAAATACGAATGTTTATTTTGCTAAATTAATACCTGTAGGCATGAAGTGGGGTATGAAAATCGGAAATAAAATAGATGTGATTTCTTTCCACAGAAATGAAATACACGGCAGGATCTTATTTCTTTTTCTTTGCATGTTTTGGGCCCATTCATTACCCCATGCTGCAGATTTTTTAATTTTCTTACTGTAAGAAATCCGGGTATAGTAATCATAATTTCGAGCTTTTTTGCTAATAATATAATTTCAAACCCACATTTCATTGACTGTCATTTTAGACATGTACATACAAAATTCGTGAATGGAGTAATTTCCGTATAAAACACATCTGTGTATAAGAAATTATATCGAGTAAAATAAAAAAACTTAAGCGAAGAAAGGTAAGTAAATTTGCATATACGAAACATGAGGATAAAGTATATAAAATATATACAAAGTATATAAGTATATAAAATATGCGAACAAATAAAAATATCTTGCAGTTAAACAAATATATTAACTGCATTATAATGAATACAAGGTTTTCTGAAAGAAAACAAAAAAACAATATTGAAACATTGAATCTGTCTGATTTCAGGAGGTTTATCTACGTTCTCTTTGCAGTTGCCCTCGTTGTAGCACATCCACATAGAGAGATAGCTAGGACCAATGAAATCATAAATTCACTTAAAAAGTTTAACGTTTCAGAAGAAGATTTCGAACATTGTAAGTCGCCATTCAATTTTTTTAAACTTTGTTATCATACTTTATTAATAATTAATAATTATTAAGAAAATATATCAAATAAAAATAACTCAGTAAAATTCAGGAAGATGGGGGGAGAGGAGGGAAGAGGGGATGTATTTGTTTTGTCACGAACGAGATTTTCTGTTATATCTTAATTTCATTCTCAAGGCGAAGATATAATGTTTACGTAACAGTTTTAGTTTGAATTTGTTAATATGGTGAGACATCAAGCATAACCGAAAAAAAATCGAATTCATCTTTCATATAAAAATTCTTAACGGCTTTTGAAGCTTAATTGCTTTAATAATTCAAAATTTTATTTACTCATAATCTAAAAACTATTTAAATCAAACGAAAATTTTGAAATGCCCTGTTCTATGAAATTATGTTATTTTACCCATGCCAACGATCATATTATACACGTAGATACGTATGTAACTATATTTACATTTAGATGGAAATAGATATTGATAATAGACAAAAAATACACATAAAGTCAGATATTATTTCGCTGTGAATAATAAAAAAAATACCTTATAAATATCTATATATAGTTTTTTGGAATTAATTATTTTTTCAACTTATGATTATGGCAATGTTACCTCAACCTACGTCATTCTAATGCTGTACAGATCAAATCATCGGTTTCGATTCTGTAATCGAAATTTCATATTTCAAACTTAAAACTTTGCTAATCCAGTTATATAAGTAAAACATGACATATAATTCTGCAAATTGTTATTTGGATCAGAATGGTACAATAAATGGTTTTATCGTTCAATTAACAATCCAATAAATACAAATTCTTATTTAATTCACGAGTATGGTGGACTCAATACATAAAGCGACAATAAATACTTAACGCTTATTATTATGTTACTGTAAGGTATCGTATTAAAATTTTCAATATCCGATTAAGTTATGATCATGAACTCGAATTTTAATCTCTGAGTCCCTCTAACAGTAAATTTATTGATCTGTTCAGTCATAAATTTTAAAATTAATAATTTTATTGTTTAATTTTTATAACTAGCTGTTATTGTTTTCAGATATATGTATAGCACAAAGATCAAGTGGATGTAACAAAGGGAAAAAGCATATTTTTAAGGAAGAAGGTTACGGATCCTACGGGCTATTTCAGGTAAATTTTACACATTAAAATACAGGAGTTCCCAAAATGTCATTTAGGATGCAATGGGTATCGTACTGACCGAGGAGGTATTTTTTAATAATTTCATTTTTTTCTAAACTGTTCATTTTTTCTTTGGTACAAAGATGAGAGATTGTAATTAGTTAGGACAAACATTCACGTATAATAATTTCCACATAGAAATCTTAAAGATGTTTCCCCAAACTCCCATGAATCGAAATCAAAATATTTTTTTCGGCACTTTTTTAGAATTGGCTACAAAGATCATGGGATTAATTTTAAGATTAAAATTTCATCACTGAATAGTACGATGATAGGATTAAATAAAAATATAGAATTATAATTGAGACTCCTCATTATAACACATCTCGTTTTATACTAATTTTCATTTTATAATTGTCAATTGTTTTTAATAACTTTACTCCCTACTTAGAAGATATATTGGAAGGATTTTAAAAGAAACCATCATCATAATTTTATTATCTGCAAAAATGCTTGGGTAAGTATGTTTCTTGAACTGTATGTAACCACTTGAATTTCAGCGATCAAATTCATATCAAACATTGTTATCATATAGATTTATAAACTGTATAAAAAAAAAAATTCAAAAAGGCCGCCGAAAAAAATTGTGAGCATTAAAATTTTTATAACTATGGTTTTGAACTCACAAATAAATATGAAATAACTAGTAAAAAAATCTGGTGTTCGCAACACACAACATTCATCTACCGCTCAATTTTGAATAGAAATTATTTTCTGACCATGTTGGGCTATTATAAAATTTTTGAATTGCATTTTTAACTGAGCTACAGCTAAAAAATTATAAATACCATTAAAATAACAAAAGTTCTATTTATTATATATCACTGGTTGATTATGGATTGTACGATCCGTTGATTATAGATTGTACGACTATTAGTAATTAAACTGTTATTTTCCATTGAAAAGTTTACTAAAACGGAATTAAGAGTTTCGCATCGTCTGTCATAGCCAGGTCAAAAGTTGTCACACCAATTGTAAGTGGATTCTGTTAGGATATCACAAAATGAAATTTAAGCAAACTATTCACTAATTTAATTTTCTAAAAGGTGTTACATGACGATTTTTGGAATAAACGGATGATAAATACCTAAATATTTAAATATATTATCAGATCTAGAATTATTAAACCACAGTAAGTATATTTAAGGTTATAAATGCATCTGTGAAATATTTTTATATTTCACTTCTTCTTTCACACAAGTACAATGAAATAGTAGTGGATGCTGTTGGAATATCACAAAGCGAAGGCTCATCAAATTATTCACTAATTTAATTTTCTAAAAAGTTACATAACAATATTTCGGAATAAACGGACGTTGATACCTAATTATTTAAATATAATATCAGATCTAGAATTATTAAACTACAGCAAATGTATTTAAGGTTATAAACATAAGCTTTATACACGAATGAAATGAGTTTATATTTTACTTCTTATTTCAAGTACAAAGAAATAGTTTTTTAAACAATGTCATTGCCTTGATTAGGTGGATTTTAAATACTTTTTTCAAACTTAAAAATATTTTAATAGTTTACATTTAATTTCCTTGAAAACATGTGATTTACGTTAAATATTATTAGTTTTCAAAAATTATTATTTATAATTTTTTTTCCACTCCTCCGTTACCTTCTACAACTTTGTTTATTACATATTGTTCTTTTCTAAAATTTTCCGCTATCCAACGATATATTATACGTGTACCTTCTGACTAGTATTTCCGGAGATTCATTTTACAGAAAACCATTATACTTTTTCATTTTTTGGGATACAGTTTCAAGTTTATAATGTGAAACTAATGGCACATGCTGTAAAATAAAATTTTATTTTCAGGTTAACAGTACTGATGCTTGTTCCATGGGTCCCAAACCAGGAGGGATTTGCAACGTAACATGTGAACGTAAGACTCATAATTTAAAAAAAAAAATAATATATCAATACTTTATTCTCTAAATTATCTATACATAAATAAGTTTTGAAACTTAAAATTGAATGCCTTTTTGTGCTATCAAGATACGAAAATGACACAAGATCGGATAGTAACTTTATTTATTTTTACAATAATTACTATAGTTATTACAGTATTAATAAATTCATGTATTGTTATATCACAGTATAATAATATTTGAACTTTACTTAGACATTTGGCGCCCAGGGTAACGGATTCATTTTCCCCACGCCTTAAAATTTGAATTAATTACTTAAGCGGTTATATATTTATAGGATGTATTAAAAAATGACCGTTTTTCAACCAAATATTTTTATTATTATTTCTTTGATACAAAACACAATTAATACTCAAAGTATAGTCCATTGTTATCGACCGTCTTTGTTAGACATCTGCCTGCCAATTTCTCGACCACAAGCTGATACCATTCTTTGGAATGAAAGTCAAACAACTATTGGACCGCAATTTTAACTTCCACAAAATAATCAAATTTTTTCTCTTGAAGAAAATTGGTCATGGATCTAAATATGTTGTAATCCGATGGTGCGAGGTATGGATTATATGGTGGATGAGGCAGGCGTTCGAACCCCTAAAGCTCTTTAAACTTTTCTTTGTTTCGACAGGAAGTGTGAGAACGAGCATTATATTGTTGGGATAAAATTCCTTTTCGGTTGATCAAGGCAGGATAATGCTCTGACAACTTCGGGTACAATCGTTACAGTTATTCGCACTAGTGTTCAGAATTCATAGAGCATCAGGAACAAATTCGTGATGACTATCACGTAAAGACGCAAAGCATGGGTTTTTTTTTTTTTCAAATTGTCCCATTGGAACAACCGGAAAATCAGTTTGACCGCGATTTAACAAGTGATCAATGGTATTAGAATTTTGCCAGTAAATCCACTTTTCATTTCATAGGTGACGTTCTTCCAGTAATATCTCATATAAGAAGGGTTTTTCAATAAATTTTCACAAATGTCTAACCTCTTAGCTCATTGCTGAGGAATGAATTGGTGAAGGACCAGTCTGCTGCTCTTTTTCAAATTTTTCCCATGGAGAGTAGATGGCGGACTAACAGTATCATACGAGACACCACGCTCCCTGGCAAGTTAGTGAGTACTCGTAGACGGGTTTGACTCAACAGCTTCTTACAGAACCTCATCAATATCCATTAATGGAGCCTTTCTTCATTTCCAACGTCGAATCTCCACTACTAAACTTTTCAAAACGTCACGCAGTGTACTGGTCAAGGACACCTCTCTCTTCATACAATTTGCTTCAGCGGCTGTGAATTTTTTTCCAATAATGCCTTAGAATTTTGAGAATTTCGTAGGACAGTGTCATATTTCTTATATCAAACAAATAACTAAACTGATTTCTTTGAAGAAGTCGAATGTGATTACACAAGCTTAGAGAATGCTCTAAAGGGATTATTAAGTATTGGTAAGTATTAAATAGGATTAAAATATCCTACAGTCCTTTCAAATGTTGAATTTGATAAAACACCCATTTTTTATCAATCGTTTTTTTTATACACCATATTATTTATGTAATCTTTGAATTTTATTTCATTCAACATTTCTTTAATACCAGTTACTTCATTGATAAGCTGACTTTAATTATCTTAAAACGCTTCGTATTTTTTTTTTTTTTTTATTTCTTACAAATGGCAAGCGCTTCTCCCAGTCAGAGCCCTAGGGCGATAGTTCCGGTTGCCCCACTTCAAGACCGGCACTGGTCAAAACGACATCGATGAGAGAACCGAAATCGAAAAATAATGCATTGATTTTATCATATTATTTTTTTTATTTTGAAGTAATTATTTTAGTAGAGGCTGTGAACTTTATTTATTTTAATATAATTACTTAATTGATAAGCGTACGACCAGTAAAGGTTGAATAAATCGTTCTGCACATTGGGTTTTTATTTTAAAAAATAAACATCATTGACTTATATATTTCATTTTATATTCTGATTGTTTGTATAAACATTGTATGCATATCATTATAAGAAAATGAGGCAAATAATTGTTTTTATTTTAATAAATAGATGACATCTCTGCCCAAATCTAGTAATTTTAATATTTATACAAATGATTTATTATTATGTCTAAGATCTCACGAGCTTGATCCTCGACACACAATTAGAGGATTTTTATCGTCGTCATGCTTGTTAACATATTTTGTTTTACGCCTCGGTTCTGCCGAAATACTTATTACTATCGAGGAGGATATGAACACACGATCTAATCTAATGGTTTTATAAATATGCTGATAGAAATGGATAGTTTTGTAGAACGTACAAAAAAGGAAATACTGTAATCATTGTAAAGTAATATAAACTACATTCAAGTATAGAATTTGTCTTAGCTAAATTGTCATATAAAAATCATAAATGCAAATTGTATTATATGTAATCAGTAATAGACATTTTAAATATTAATTTATATTGACTCAGTAAGGAAATGTTTGAATCCTATTTATACAAATAATTAATTATTACGTTATAGATCTTTCGTCGTTGATTCTCGACCCACAAGTTGAGTGTGCCGTCAAACTTGTCAACAAATTTTGTTTTTGGAAATGGAACGTATGGACTCAGTTCTGCAAACATGAGACATATTTATGACTAATGAAGTGGAAATGAACACATGATCTAATAAATAAATGCTCATTGGATCCAGGGATTGAACTTTTAAAAGAAATCAAGATTTGCGGAAAATTTTGTATTATTTGATTTATTTATTTCATTTTTTTTGTTGCCTCTACCCTGTAGGGTCATTGGCAAATTTTGAATTAAAACAAATCGCAATAAATGTATCAGCTATGTTAAATTCTTAGAATTACATTTATTATTTTATGGTTAAGGTTATTTATAAAAAAAAAAACCCATATATATATATATATATATATATATATATATATATATATATATATATATATATATATACAAAGAAAAAAAAAGAAGGAAAAGACAGAGAAAGAAATAAAAAAAAAAAGAAGAAACTACCTATATAATATAAAACGTTAATTCGAAAATTAAAACATACAAATTTGTAAAAGAACATTATAAAAGTTAAAGCATGGCAATATCATTGCTTAGGAATCCTACGGGCGTAATAATCCCACAGTTTATAGCAATAAAATCCTTATCCTAATCCTATCCTCTCCGAAAACTCAAAATTGAAGACGCCAATTCTCCATTACATTTAACTGTTAGAATTTGTTTCTTAGTTACTGAATTATTTAATAAAAAAATGGAAATGGTCTACTTTACTTTGCGAGCACAGATATGTAGATGGGAATGCCATTTAAAATGCCAAACAAAATCTATGTTTCATTGTACGAAACTCATTGTATCAAACTGCAGTGCTTCTAACAAGAGATGGCACAATCTTCTTTAATATATGCTGATATTGTTTCTTGACACTGTTAGTGCCTCGAACCTCCTCGGACGATTGCTCGAAGAGGAGTGAGTGGAATTTCGCCATCCTCCCGATTTCCATCTTCTTCCGAACACCTCCCCGTTCCAATAGGGCAAGAAGAAGATAGGGAACTTTTTACTCTAATTCCTGCTGGGATGGCCCTGGAAGCTGATGGAGTTTGGGAGCTTTAATTACCACTGAGGCTGCGGCTCGTGTATTATTCATAGGGAAGCTCCTTCCATAATCAGCCTTCTTCGCCTACCTCCTCTAAGCCTCCCCTCTCTCCGTCTCCTATCTAAACTAATTTTCGAGAAATAGCCGACTTTTTTTTTTTCACTCCCTCCCTTTTAAGGTATTGAACTGTGATATACAATCAATTTTCCTTGGAAATAACCATTATTCATGGCGTCACTGATAAATTTTTCAGAATATAAGTTTAAGTGTGCCTATTTAAAACAATAAAGGAACAATCTATAATATACATTTACCGCTAAACCTAAGAATGAGCGAATAATTATATAACAGGAGTAGTGTTGTCCAAAATCAGTCTTGGTCTCGCTATTTACAAGACCAATATTGGTTAAAAAGAACATTCTTGTGAATAAAAAGTAAGGAAAAATAATTACTAATACTTGAAAATTTTAGTTGCTGTATAAAGAATAGGTATAACCAATATAATTTTCCATTTAACTATTCCGATTTTTCATTCGGGCTTAGTTAGGTCCATTTATCTGGAAAATTACAGTAATATCTGTACAGTGATAGGCTAATAACTTTTTTTTTTTTAAATCTGTTTATTGAGAAATAATATATTTTGCCACATTTAAGGGCACTGAGTACTAAAGCTGAGTGAGGCCCATTCATACTATATATACAATGCAATAAAAAAAAAAATAAATAAAATAAAAATATATATCTATATAACAAAGGTAAAAACTATAAAACTAAAGAAATGTAACTTGAATTCAAATTAAAAAAAAAATAATAATAAAAAAAAATAATAAATAAAAAAAAATACAGAAATTGGTAGTAAATTAAATAAGTCATAAGTAAAACAAATAGATATATAAAAAAGAAAAACATTCATACTTAATATATAAAAAATAAAAACATTCATACTTATTATATAAAAAAGAAAAACATTCATACTTTATTTACAATCAGCCAAGGGAGCTCCGAGTCCAGCCCTTTCCTCCACGTGTGAAGGACAAAGCGAGACTCTAAGAGATCCCAGCGCTTCTCTCTCAGCTGCGTCACCGGCAGGAGTCCAGTGGAAACTGAGAGAGGGCACTGAAGCAACAGACGCTCATGACGAGGCTAATAACTGCAAGACTCTTCTGCAAGAACAAAACCAAGACCAAGACTGCGAGGACAAGATCAAGACACGGCTTGGTCTCACATTTGGGCAACACTAAACATGCGCATAATGTTTTACGATGCAAGAGTTATTCATTTCTAAGATAAATAGTCCGCGATAGAGACCACTTTTTATCAAATTATTAACATCTGCATGAAACTTTCTAAAAACAATAATTTCATGTTATTTTAACCAACAAATATTTTATTAACGATAATTCTCAGGATCGTTCTATTGGGAATAGAAATAAATTTAAATAAATATAATGAAAAAAAGGTTGGGGTGATCAATAAAAATAAAAATGGCAAAAATAAATAATAATATTCATTTCAGGCAAATGTTAAAATAAATATTATTATTTATTTTTGTCATTTTTATTTTGACTGATCACCCCAACCATCCTTCTTTTCATTATTCACTACAGTCAACCATCAATCCACAGTTTAAAATAAATATACAACGTTTTCCTGGTTTAGTAATATGATAGGGTCATCTGGCGATACAACAGGGCAACTATAGAAAATTTATGTTAAATTGTCAGAAAAACATATTTAATTCAACCGTCGCCATAGTATAATTTATAATAGATTCATAGTAGAATCTATCAGTCATACACGAGAGTATTAAGTAAGGAAACTCAACTGTTCGCATTCATTACAATTTTATCACTCGATAAATCAATTCCGTTTAATAATGCACCAATAATTAGACCGAGTAAGCAAGATCTATGTCATTTAGCTCTCAATATTGTATTCATGTTAATTGATAGCTTGTATGGGGTGTGGTCACTAATTTACTTTCCATGCAATATTGAATATTCAATGCATTGCATCATATAAATTGAAATATTGCTACTTTGTTAAACGTTCCATCTAAGTTTAGATTATAATTACATCATTTTAGTTCAGCCAATCTGAATCATTCTATTTCCTGCATATTTTGGTTAGACTTCATACTTTCATTTTTTTCCATCACAACTTTGTTTCTAGAGCTGATTTTTTAAAAAATTTAAATCCATTTATGTCCATTTACCAATTTGAACAATGAACATTAAATCAGTCATTTTAGCATAAATAATCAATTTTAACACTATTAATTTAATGTAGTTTCTTGTATTAAAATATGTTTCTATTGACTATGTTTCTGGAACAAGTCTCTACTTAGGACAGGTAAAAATTCTGAAATAGCAGAATAGACTACGGAAAATGGGTGGTTCTAAATCTGTTTACATGTTTATATTTAAAAACACAAGATAAAAGAAATTCTATAATTGGTTAAATTCTATTTCAATTTAACTTTAAGTTTATTTATACATTTAAGGCCTTTAGAGTCCAAAAATTTATTTTTAAAAATCATATATTATTTTTCATCAGTTCTGTTTTACCTAAAAATCTCCTAATTGTTTTGGACATACAATCGAACCCTTGATATCAAATTGATTAAAGGCTGGTATAAATAATTTAAGAAGAAATTTGTTTTAAAATCAGTTAACGATAACATAAACGTTTTTGTTATGGAAAAGCCACGACAAAAAGAAAGTTTAGAGAGTTATTGATAAAATAAGAATGATATATAGAAATAATGTTATTTTTGTCGATACATCAAATTAATATTTCGATTAATCTGAAAACTATCGATATTTTATTTACACGCTATCCAGAGGCCCATTGCGATCGTGTGTGAGGGGCTAATTCAACGTAGGGTGAAGTGAAGAGACACTATTGATAACAAAGACAAAAATTAAAACCAGGAGACTTTAATATTTAAAAATTGAAAATAATTACAGGAACAAGAGGTTCGAAATTCATCGACCAATGGTCGAAGAGAAAATCTATATAACTCGCAAACATCAATGGTTCGAAGAGAAAATCTATATAACTCGCAAACATCAGAGAAAGCGCTTTTGGGGAAATTAATTAAAGTTTGACACCTTTACCATAAACTATTCGATTATTAACTTGAGCAACAAAAATCTTAGAAACAGTAAAATAAAATTGATATTTAATTACATTTTTATTATGAAGAATGTTTAAAAAGCTGAAATATCACCTAGTAATAATAAAATTAGACATGATTTCAACACAACATAATAATTTAATATACAAATACTCACCAAGTTTGACATAAAACAAAACAAATTATTTTTATAATTTTTTTCCCCTTTTACTATCTATCCGCACCTGTCATGGTATTGACAATCAGGAGATGTATTGTGTTGGTGAGGATTGACATTATAAGCATGAGGAAGGATAGCATCCAGCAGCAGCTGTTTCTGGTCATTATTTATTTCTTTGATTTAGGTGAGGAGATCTCTCATCATTTTGTAAATACAAAAACTGTATTATGAGGACAACTAACTTCCTATTACAATGGAAATATTCACATCACGATTATAGACAGAAGGAACAAAGACATTTTCAATCCATCATCCTATCTACCTATCAGTCTCCTTCCGATAGGTTAAAAAGTTTTCGAAAATTAATATACAAAAGGCTGTTTGAAATACTGACAGACCAACAAATAATACCTAACCATCAATTCGATTTTCGTACATTTCATTCAACATTTAAAATAATTGTGATAACTTTAGAACAACTACACTGAAAAGTATTAGTTGTCTAGGACTCGAAATGCTACACAAAATGGTAAAAAATAAATATATCAATCAATGTTATAAAATGAAAATATTGTGCAGTTTTCCTAACTACAGAAGGAAGGAAATCTTAAGTTTTTGAGATGTGGTGTGGAAAAGTGATAATTTAGCATTCCAACGGTTGTATTGACATTGAATTTGTAAAAAAAACCTTCAGAAGTTATGAATGCTTTAGTTAAAGAAGTGAAAAAAAAAATCCATCAAATAAAGTACTAATATTTAAAATTTTAATTTTAATAAAGATTCGTATTTATGAAT